TTAAGCATGCTTGGGTGAGAGTAGTACTAGGATGGGTGACCTCTGGCAGTCCTCATGTTGCATTCCCTTTACACCCGTGATGTAGCCCCCGAGCCCCGAGTGATTTGGATAGGATCGCTGGGGGTTTTGTCAGTGGGTGTATGTGCGTGTTTTTTAGTCGAGGCGGAGTTGTCAACCAAGGCGTCGCTCTTGCGCACCGAGGTGGTTTAGTTGTAAGGATCGGGCAAGATGAAGCTTGTGGATCCTGGTGTCGGTGCACGCCGTGGGATCGAGGCAGTTAGTTTAGGGATCGGACGAGACAGAGCTTGCGGATCCTGGTGTCGGTGCGCGTCGTGGGATCGGGCGAGTCGGAGTCGTGGATCCTGGCGTCAGTGCAGTCCCGCGTAGTCGAGGTAGTTTAGTTTAGGGATCAGACAAGATGGAGCTCGCGGATCCTAGCGTCGGTGCGTGCCATGGGATCGGGTGAGTCGGAGTAGTGGTTCCTGATGGGGCGAGTTTGGGGTCGCAGACCTAGGTTTTTTGGTGTGCAGTCGAGGCATAGCCGAGGGATGGGGCGAGTTCGGGTCACAGACCCAGGCGTTTGGTGTGCAGTCGAGGCGTAGGCGAGGATGGGCGAGTTCAGTCGTCGCACCTAGGCGTTTGGTGTGCAATCGAGGCGTAGCCGAGGGATGGGGTGAGTTCGGAGTCGCAGACCTAGGCCTTTGGTGTGCAGTCGAGGCATAGCCGAGGGATGGGGCGAGTTTGGGGTCGCAGACCCAGGCGTTTGGTGTATGTTATAGTAGCTTTTATTGGAGTATTTAATTTAGTTTCTCTAGATTTACTAGATTGGAGGTTTAGATCCTTGGGTTAAAGTTTAGCCCTTGTCACATCAAATGTTTGGAGGCTAATCAGGAGGACTAAAGATGAGCTAATTATAAAACTAATTGCAGAAGCCTGGGCTAATTCATAAGACGAATATATTAAGCCTAATTAATCCATTACTATCGAATATTTACTGTAGCATTATAATATCAAATCATGGACTAATTAGGCTTAATATATCTGTCTCGTGAATTAGCCTCTATCCGTGCAATTAATTTTGTAATTAGCCTGTGTTTAATTATCCTAATTGATATCAAACATTCGACGTGACATGCCGAAACAACCTGAGGGTGTTTGGTTCCACCTCCTAAAGTTTAGTCGTTGTCCCATCAAATATTTGGACACATGCATGGAGTGTTAAACATAGACTAATTATAAAACTAAATACACAGATTGAGATTAATTTACAAGATGAATTTTTTAAACCTAATTAGTCTATGATTTAACAATGTGGTGCTATAGTAAACATATATTAATATCAAATTAATTAGGCTTAATAAATTCGTCTCACACGATAAATTATGTAATTTATTCTTCTATAAGTGGACACCCCTAATAACAACTCACTGCGGCAAAGGGACGGTCATATTCACGATCCCCGAGATGGGGACCAATATCCCAATTCCGAGGGCTGCAAAGGGCTTTAGGCCTCGTTTATTGGCTTTTGGTTATTGTAGCATTTTCGTTTGTATTTGGTAGAAATTAGTCAATTATGGACTATTTAGGCTTAAAAGATTCGTCTCGCCAATTACGGGTAAACTATGTAATTAGTTATTCTTTTTATCTATATTTAATACTCTATGCATGTGTCGCAAAATTTAATGTGATGGAGAATCTTGAAAAATTTTGGATTTTGGATGAGAAGGCCTTATTTTTCTGAAAAGAAAATCAAAGTGTCATAGTCGCAGTACTGCCTGCGTCTTCTCTCTTCTTGATGGGACACCTGCGATGTGACCGGCCGGCTTCCCTTACGGATTGCTAATGCTCCAATCACGTCATCTCGGAGCAAATTTTCAATCAATTACCATGAGCGAGGCAGCGGGCTCAACGTTTGACTATTAGGAAACAGGATTCATTGGCTTTGTTCATTTCGCTAAAATTTAGTTTATATCAATAATTATACTGATTTATTATAAAAGAAAAACAGAAAATTATTGCTGAAATAGTGTAACAGAACATGGCCATTATCTTTTAATAGTTAGATGGTTAATAGATCGTATCTAATATTAGCTAAGTATTAACTCCCTTTTACCACGAGGATGTTTGGATGCATAGCTAATAAAAAATGCTACTTATTAGCTACTATTATCTGATTTGGTCAAACTAGTGAGGTAGTTAATATCTTGAGGTCCAACTAATAATTAGTTATTTTATTAGCTGCACCTGAACTATTAGCTCATAGCTTTTATCTATAGGGATCAAACAGGACCTCACCTGAAATGAGTATTGTTTTATTATATATCCAAATATATTGTATATTTAGTATATAACAAAAGTTATATATAGTATATATTATGCTCCGAGTTGACTGCATTTAGAGTGAGGGGGCACATGTTTCGATTCAGTAATAAGGCGAGTCTCAATTGAGTGTTTCATCTCTCAGTTTAAAAGACTAACAGCCTGTTTGGTAGGCCGTATCGTATCATGGATTATTTACTGCTGGCTGGTTTGGTGTGAGAGAAAAACACTGTTCCCGGCTGAAAATTTACGATCGTTTACGAGCAAGCGAACAGGCTGCGTTGGAAACAACGTAGATAAGTTTTATCCCCATAAAACTCATTTCATCTCATGAAACTTTTATCACCCCTCTCTACATCTATTACATGCCATGTTAGCTCATTTGATGTCATGAAACTCCCATTGAGACTGGTACAGTGAAATCAACTCTGCTCCTAGGCCTTGTTTAGATTGAAAAAAATTTCAATCCGATGAATAGTAGCACTTTCGTCTTATTTGATAAATATTGTCCAATCGTGGACCAACTAAGCTCAAAAGATTCATCTCGTGATTTCCAACTAAACTGTGCAATTAGTTATTTTTTTTACCTACATTTAATGCTCCATGCAAACAGCTAAAAATTGATATGATGGAGAAAGAATGAAAAAACTTGGAATTTTGAGGGTATCTAAACAAGGCCCTAGTTTGTAACATCATATGGCACATGGATAATGATGGTTCTGCTCGCGGAATCACGGCAGGCCGCACCGATATATGGACCGAGCAAGCAGCGGCAAACGCCAGGCGGCAGGTGCCTCCCGGCGGCCCGCGCGCGGATGGGTGGCCACGGCCAGTCGGCCACAGGCCACAGAGAGAGAGGGGGGGAGAGAGAGCACAGGAGGGTGACTTTGCACGCGATCCCGCGGCTGACTGCGCCGCGCCGCGCAGCCGCAGCGTGCGCTCACGCCGGCCGGGTGCGGGCATTTACTAGCTTTGCGCGGACCAAGAAAGGCTGGCAGCGGCCGGCGAGCCTCGGTTGGGGAGCCCAAATCTCCCATTCCTCCCCTTCCCTTTCCTATTTTTATCTCTGCGTCGTCTGCGTGTGACTGCGGCTGCGTGCGCCTTCTCTTTCTCTCTGCCCTGTGCCAGTGTGCCCTCCCTCCCTCTCCCTGCGGATGGATGTCTGTATGCGCATCTCTGTCCATTCAATCCGTTGAAGCGACCGAGGAGGGAGGGGATCGGAGACGGAGGCCTTGCTGCGCGCGGCTGCAGGCGCGTAGCGCTGATGATGCCGCCGCTGCCGATACGCTCGCTCGCGTAGTCATACCCACGAGGCCACCACCAGCCGTAAAGGTGCCGCGCAGGAGGCATGCGTGCGTACCCCAGCACCGCGGCGTTAGGATCTGTGTTAGATGCCTTTTAAAAGAACAAATCAAGGTGGTCGATTTGAACCGACGGTAAAACTATAGAAATAAATCCTCTATGGAAAGCACTCAGCAGCAGTCATCAGTCAAACTGTTGCAAGCAGTGAATTGAAACAGGATGAGTCCCTATATTGTCGCTACATGCATGAGCTCTTAACGGTCTTGTTTGCAATTATAGATAAATAATTGCTGGAAGGAGCAGGGGACGTATGGCACGTCTCATGTGTCGAGTACAGACAACAAAGGGGAGCAAACACAAGCAAAGCAACTCCCCGTATGTAGCCCCATGCTCGTCGACATGGTCGCAGCGGCGGCACTTGTATGGATCGGGTGCCGACAGATCATTGACGGTCATAACCTTAGGTCGTTTCAAATGTAGAATCTCCACGTGAGGATGTTAATTTTCGTACATACGTACATGTATATCAGAGACCACAGATTCATCAGAGCTATCACCAAACCGAGAGCGAATGCCGAATGGGCTCTCTGATTAAGCTCCTGCATCACAAGATGAGCTTCTCGCCTTCTCATCTTGCAGGGATCAAATGAGTAATGCACGTGACAGACTGCTGACAGTAGCCTTTTGCCACACACCACAGGGACGCCACGCCGGCCTCTAGACACTTTAAACAGTCATTCTAAGAATATATGGGCCGCTTCAGAAGAGCATGATGGGCTTCTTTGTTTCAGAACAGCTTGAGAAGCATGGGCCCCTTCAGAAGAACATGATGACTTGATGAGCTTCTTGTTTCAGAACAGGCCTGTAAAGCATGGGCCCCTTCTGAAAAGCATGATGGGCTTCTTGAGAACATCCTTGTAATTGTGGCTGACGATTTGTCAGCAAATGTGAATTGAGCACACCCAGGTTCAAAAAAAAAATCGGTTAAGAATTTATCAGAATTATAAACTTCTTCGTAACCGATTTTACAGAATATACCCGTGTCTGACAGGACACAGCCCACCTAAAACCCATCCGCCCGGATCGACTCACAGCACGGCAGCGAGCAAACATCCCCGCGCACGACTTTCCTTCCGCCGTCTCCCCTGAAAACCCGGCAGGCCCCAGCCCGTCCCCTCCGCCCCTCGGCTGACTCGTCCACCTCCTTTTTCCTCTTTTCCCCTCGTGTCCGCCGCCCGCGCCGCCGGAACCCTAGCCTCCGCCGCCACAGGTGAGTCGGACGGGACTCTTCTGGTGCTGTTCTCCGCGCCCTTCCCGCCCGGTCTAGCAGTCTACTGATCCGCCTGATCCATCCAATTGGCGTGGTGCAGGCAATCGAGATGGAGAAAGGAGCCTCGGAGGCGTCGCCCCCCTGCGCTCGCTGCGGCAAGCCCGCTCAGCTCCAGTGCGTTTTTCTCTCCTCCCTGGAACATATCGCTTCTGGCTTGGCACATATCGCTTCCTGTCTCCACCAGTGATCTGCTGTCGAGTTTTACCCGCTGCGTTTTGCTTCGAAGCCCTACATCTGTCCATCTAGTAATAGGAATTGACGCTTGACAGCTTTGTTGTGATGCTATTTAGTATAAGTTGTAGAAATTGGGTCTTTTATCTCTCATTTGCTTGTAGTTAGAACATTGAAGCAGAACCTGGGTGGCTCTGATTGTTCATTGCTGTGATATACGGCTGCAAAAGCAGAGTTATAGTTTGGAAAGTAGCACGCAGTAGACATGTTGGTTTCTTTAAGTCATTGCTTATGCTCTGTTGTTTTGATTTTCAGATGCCCCAAGTGTGCTGAACTTAAGCTACCCCGTGAGAACGCAGCTTTCTGGTCAGTGGCAAGCTCCTCTCTTTCTCGTTTTACTGCACTGGAACATCATTATAGTAGGAAGCTCTCAGGATGAATGGGTATTAGCTAGATTTATTGTTTTAACATTACAGAGCATAAAACCTTATACATATTTTAAAGGTTCATGTATCATTTAGGTATGGCCTTATGTGTAAACTTTATCATCAGTGAGTATGAAGTTAGTAAATATCTGTAGACACCTTTATTAGTGGGGATGTTATTTTTTCATATCCTTGTTCTTTTGATTTTTAAAGGAAACACATCTTTTTATATCAAAGCATGCATTGGAAGTGCTGGCACACCAGTGCAGGGTAGAATTATGTTTCATGTGTGCTCCTTCACCTTTTTGAACTAGTGAAAGCGTTAAATTCTTTTGTGTCCTCAAATCATTTGCAGCACACAGGATTGTTTTAGGGCAGCATGGAGCTCTCACAAATCTGTTCACCCAAAGCCTGGTGCACTGGCATCCCAGCAGTCTCCAGAAGGTTGGAAATATTGCGTGAGAAAAGGGCGGGGACGTGCATTGGAACTTCCTCGTTTTGATTGGACAGGGTAAGATACTATTACCACATTTGTGATTCCTTTGTTGGATCTGTTGTTCAATATATGTAGCATTCCATTTGCCTCTGGAATTGCTGGGGAAGTTATTAAATATCGACAATTATTCAAATTCAATCAAATACAAAAAGAACAAGAACAACAACAAAACTTTCTAGTTTCTAGTCCCAAGCAAGTTTGGGTAGGCTAGGTCTGAAATCCAACATGAGCCACCACAAAAAATGGTAGTGACAACTCAAATTTGAATATTCCAAATTTATATTAAGTTTCAGCTGGTTGACTTCCTACCTTCTTAAATGAATGCTGGTATCTTCTGACACAACCTTTGTGGAACACTAAGGATAACCCTGCCACAACCATGCCAAAGGTTTAGAGCAGCAAATGAGCTATGAAAAAGTTAACTATCGATAGTGAATCTAACATATATGTGCAGTGAACCAATGTCTTTTGGATAGCCACAATAGGTTTTTTGACTCGGTTATGCACTGTGCATGTATGAAGCACTTCTTTTAGCATTAACTGCGCATTTGAGAGTTCCAGTATATTTGAGCAACAAAGTGGCTTCATGGATGCTGTAAACATGGTGTTGAACATTTCTTTCCATTCACAGTTTCACACCAAAATAGAGTATTGAAAAATTGAAAATTTTGAACATAAATGCACCTTTATTCTTTGCTAATAATCTAGGGTGGGAGGAATGAGCTATTTGGGTAGTACCTTTCTCACATTTATTGAATGATTATGTCTTTCAGTCCATTGAGACCATATCCAATATCAAAGATGCGTGTGGTGCCAGATGAAATTGAGAAGCCTGATTGGGCGCTTGATGTAAGTTCCTGTTGTTTTAAGTGTCTCTTCCTTCACAGTATGCATGCGGTGTTGTCTCATCATTCCACTTGAAGTGATATCTCTTGCAATATGCTCTTTCAAATCTCCCTGACATTGTAATACTTTTTAGGGAATTCCCAAGATAGAACCAGATAGTGATTTGCAGAAAAGAGTAGAGGTAAAATCCTTCAGAGGTTTTTGAGTATCACATATATTCCATGAACAAATATCTGGTGATTATTGCTTTCTTTGTGCCTCTGTAGATTAAGACCCCTGAACTCATAGAAAGGATGAGAGAAATATGTCGAGTAAGTTCCCAGCATGTGTAAATGAGTGCTTAGTTCTGACATTATAATTTCACTTTCATAATGTTTTCTGCTTTATCTCGTACTATCATTTATAGATTGCAAGAGAGGTTTTAGATGCAGCTGCTCGTGTAATTAAACCAGGAATTACAACAGATGAAATTGATAGAGTCGTCCATGAAGAGACAATTACTAGAGGTGAGATCAACCTCCTTTAAGAATTAAATGCAACAAATTGAACTCCAGTTGATTGAATGAACTTGTGATCACTACAACTTTTTTAAGAAAAAAATATTATTTGTGTCTTAATCATGCCTATTCGATTCTCTTATTGATCATAACTTTCATTCTTGATCCTCAGGTGGATACCCATCTCCATTAAATTACCATTTCTTCCCCAAGTCATGTTGCACGTAGGTTGTCTTTGTTTTAATAGTTATTGGTATCAGTTCTAGGAGACTAAAGGTATTGCTCACATAGTTGTCACTTGTACTCAGGTCTGTCAACGAAGTCATTTGCCATGGAATTCCAGATGCCAGGTCCTACTTGAATTTGCACATTAAATTGATCATTCATTTGTCTAGTGATAATGACCTCTTCAATGCCCTTCTTGAGTGTTGCTTTGGCCATTGTGAACTTACATGTATAAATAATATCTTTCTACATTTACTTACATGCATAAAGATTTATTTTTATATTTACTCACATGTATTACAATTATTTATCTTTCTTGAGTTCTATTTGTATGGTTGCACCTGATAGAATTTGAAATAATATGTTCAAATACATTGCATAGACCCATTCAAATTTCAAAGTAATTACCATGGAAACAAGTCAGGAGCTGTTAAGTCTGTTAACAGCACACTTTTAGTTTGTCCTACAAGTAGGTTCTTGGCTTGATACCATCTGATTCACAATACTTGTTTTAGAGTTGGGCACAAGAATTAGGGAGGAGGTAAAATGACCATCTCACCCACAATTAGTGTTCTCTAAAGTGTGCATGCATGGATAAAGGAGTTAGTTAAATTAGGGAAGTGTACAAACTGGAAAATAGGCTAAAGTTACCTTGACGTTGTAGAGCAACGAGTATTTTGAATGAAGATAATAAAAAGAAGTTAAAACAAGTATTTTGAACTGGAGGCAGTAAGTAGGTTGGTAGTAGATTTTTGATTTGCAAATACCAGATTCTGATTTTCTAGTTTCATGTTGGGCACAAGTAAAGCTTTTGTTTGTTTATTGCACCTTAATAATATTTTCGCTATCGTTAACTTTTGTCCAAGTTGGTATATTTTATTACAATTAGTTTTGATAATTATCTCTTTTCTTTTAACAGGAAACTTGAGGATGGTGACATTGTAAATGTTGATGTAACTGTATACTATAAAGGTGTTCATGGTAAAGCCTCCTCTGCCTGATATGATGTTTAACTGCTGAAATGTACTATAGTCTATTTTTAATTAGCATGTCTCAACATCAGGTGATTTGAATGAGACATATTTTGTTGGAAATGTCGATGAAGCTTCCAAACAGCTTGTGCGTTGCACCTATGAGTGCTTGGAGAAAGCTATTGCATTAGGTGACATTCTTTTGTAATTTGACCTTGCTGTATATATGCCTAAACTTCTAAGCAAAAACAAAAGGATTTCCTTTGTTTAATCCTTATTACATTTTTCTAAGACCATCAGGTCATACTTGGAAAGGATATATGACATTTGAACTTAAACATATTCATGCGCAGTTAAACCTGGAGTTCGGTTCCGAGAGGTCGGAGAAGTCATAAACAGACATGCTTCGATGTCAGGTTTATCTGTGGTTAGTAATGGATTGGTATAGAATTAATATTTTAGTTGCTACCTCGATTGTATGTTTGTATCCATGCCATTGAGATTATCTTTCCTTCAGGTGAAATCTTATTGTGGCCATGGCATAGGGGAACTGTTTCACTGCGCCCCAAACATTCCTCATTATTCAAGTATGTTTCTTGCAACTATTTCTTATTTATATTTCTTGTATTATAGTGCAGTAAATACAGCACTACTGTGCAAGCTATGTCATAAGGGTTCACAGTGAATTGAGCTGGAGGTATGCTGGCCTTATTTAATGCAGGAAACAAGGCTGTTGGTATCATGAAAGCTGGGCAGACATTTACAATTGAACCAATGATCAATGCAGGCAAGTTTATGTACTATATAGCTCCGTCAAATCCCAGATCTTATGATGTGCAGTTCAAAAATGTTTCCAAACACCTGAGCGTTAAGCAGTACTGTAAAAATGTTCATATTCTGTAGGGGTTTGGAATGACCGTCTGTGGCCTGACGATTGGACTGCAGTGACTGCAGATGGTAAACGGAGTGCTCAATTTGAACATACGCTTTTGGTGAGTATTTTGAGTTTGTCTTAGAGGATCAATTCTGGAAGCTGTTTATCATGCAGATGATTTCATTGTGCAAGAAAGAACAAATACGTCACGTGCAAGTGCAATGCTATTAATTCTGTGGGTCTGACAAAATTTAAAGAGAGCTTTTACCCCTTCAACCTGTTATATATGCTGTTCTATGCTCCAGGTGACAGAGACAGGATGTGAAGTTTTGACGGCACGGTTACCCTCATCACCGGACGTTTTTCCATGGTTGAAGAAGCCGTGATGGGGCACTCCATCAACAGCAACAAGAAAGTGATACTGATACACTGGGTCAGCAAAAAAATTGTTTACTCTTCATCAGTCGGTCAAAGCTGAAATTTTCAATTTTTCCAGACCAGAAAGTGATAAGCATGCTACTGCTGAACAGTCGCAACAATTGTCTATCTTGCGGAATTATTTCTGGGAGTGTGTGTTGTTGAGTCGGTTTTCTCCGAGTTACACGAGACGTTTGACTTCTTGAGATGTGTCACCAATATGATTATGCAATCAAAGTTTACTTTTGATTTCAGAGAACATAATTTCCATCAATTTGAGTGTGTAATTTTTATTGAATTGAAAACCCACAACCGCCGCAGCACCCGATGATTGATGGGGAATGTTGCCATCCGCGTCTTCTAAAAACTTGGCAAAGACTTGTGTAGCATTACAACCAAGCAAACTGCAGGAATTTGGGAATTTTTTCTTCCAACTGCAGGATAAAGAAAAGGCTTATTGAAAGCTGGCTGTCTGGAATGTGCCTGTAGCACGTGTATTTCTAAAGATAGTTTCAGTTAGAACTAAGTGTGCTGCTGTGTTATCGCTTGCCCTAGGGCTCAGCAGGGATGAAAACAGATCAAATGTAAAAAGATTATACGGTTATAGAAATTTGTAGTCGTTTTTCTTGAGCTAGGTAGGGATGTAAACAGATCAAATGTGAAGAGCTATATACGGATATAGATATTTATAGTTATTTGTTCTCTTGAATTTAAAATTGAATTTAAATACGGATGTTGTTTGGTGTGTCGGACTGCTGAAGTAGTTCAAACGGGCACACGATACTATTAAAACAAGTACTATATATATGTACAAATATCCAACTTTGAATGTCTACTTATATCTAGTAGTATATCATACAACGAATATTCGGATATGGACCAAATTGAAATGGGCATTGAATATCTAGGCTTAAATATGGACAGGCGGGTGGGAATATCCGCCCCATGTTTCATATTAGAGCATCTCCAAAGTCTTTTCTTAAACTCATTATCTAGATTCTCATTTGAGAGCCATCTAAATAAAAATAACCCTTTATATCTTTTCACCCTTCAACATTTTCTTTATATCTTGTGCATATTTTGGAGAGCCAGCCTTGTTCTCCATCTTTGCCTAGCGAAAACCATAAATAGAGGATGACAATATTTAAAGATCTAATTGAAGAAGCTATTAGAGAGGTTTTTAACACCAAAATCTCTATTCGTACCAATACGGAAGGATATAAAGAGGCTCTTAAATTTGCTCTTATGGCTTAGAACTAGAGCCTTTGATATTCTGATTTTAATTAATACGTCATATTGTCGAACAAGGAGATTGGAGGAAACATTACATCGATACAACAAGCCCTACAAGAAATTATGCTTCTATGGAATGCCCTAGTTTTTTTCCTGAATCTCAACGCAAACACTTGTATATAAGTGTAAGGAAAATGGACCCTAGGTCCATTTATTTTGGATTTTGGTATTTGATGACCAACACTACTAAATTTGACTAATGAATTTACAAGTGACTGTTTTGTAGTTCAATAGGGTGCAAAACGTGACTTGGATAAAGGCGACGTGATTATCTGATGATCAACACCATGAGCAAGACCTTAGAAGCACAAGAGAAGACCCAAGATATCAAGCAAAGTCTAAGCACGAAGATAGAAACCAAGCCGGACGTAAGATCGCGAAGAAACGAGCTCACAAGGTGACCGGACGCTGGACCAGACACTGACGTATAGTGACCGGACGCTCCGATCAAGAGGCTCGACAACAGAAGGCGTCAGCTGCAGCGACCGGACGCTGGCAGCAAATCGCCCGGACGTAGGACTGCAGCGTCCGATCGAGTACAGAGAGGTTCCAGAGCGGCGAAATTGAAACCGGACGTGTCCGGTGGCATGTGACCGGACGCTGGCAGCGTCCGATCAGTTGATCGTGGCTCTAACGGTCGGGACGACCGGACGTGTCCGGTCAAGACGTGATCAGCTCCGGCCAGTAGCAGAAAAGCGGGATTTCGTCCCCAACGGCTACTTTCTCAGTGGGGTTTATAAATACACCCCCCAACCGGTCAAATGAAGTGTGTGGAGCTGAGAAAACATATCAAGGGTGTTGATACACCATTTTAGTGATCTTCACTTGCATAGTGCTTAGTGATTCATTAGGTGATTAGCATAGGTGCTTTACGAAGTGCTTAGATTGATTAGACCACCGCTTATGTGTTTGCTCTAGGTTTAAACCAAGTGTTTAGTGAGGTTTGCATACCTCTTACCACTCGGTGCTTGCGCGCACCATTGTTGTACATCGGAGGGGCTTGTAGTATTGCGAGATCATACCAACCGCGGTTGTGGTATGGCCACCACTGTGTACCGAAGGGAACAAGGTCCGCGGCGTTTCGGCCGGAAGCTTGATAGTGAAGACGACGGAGAGCATCTGGGAGAGGCTTGCCGGAAGGCACGTCGGAGACCCACTTGCGCGTGGAGAAGGCCCAAGGCTATCCACGGAGTTACCCAACCGGGAGCTTGACCCTTGTGAGGGATTCCTTGCGAGGGGCTCCAACGAGGACTAGGGGGAAGCTTGCGTGCTTCTCGATACCTCGGTAAAAATACCGGAGTCGTCGACGGGAGTTTGCATATCTCTACCTTGCTCTTTAGCTTCCGCATTTACATTGATTGTATTACTCCTTTTGCGGTACAGATAGCAACACATTAGCAAAACCGTAGTTGCACATTTAGATAGTGTAAGGAAAATGAACCCTTGGCCCATTTACTTTGGATTTTGGTGTTTGATGACCAACACAACCGAATTGGACTAATGAATTTGCAAGTGTTTGTTTTGTAGTCCAAAAGGGTGCAAGACGTGACTTGGACGAAGGCGACGTGATGATCTGATGATCAACACCTCAAGCAAGACCTTAGAAGCACAAGAAAAGACCCAAGATGTCAAGCAAAGTCCAAGCATGAAGATAGGAACCAAGCCGTGCGCAAGATCGCGAAGAACGAAGCTCGCGAGCGAGCGATCGAGACGATGGACGCCGGACCGAACGCCGGAAGCGCCTTGACCGGACGCTGGACCGGTGGCTCGGCGAACACAGCGACCGGATGCAAGGACCGGACGCTGGCGGCACCGACCGGACGCAGAACGCAGCGTCCGATCGAAAGTCTGAAGAGAGTTCTAAGCGCTTGAATCTACGACCGACGACGCCGCGCGGCGTCCGATCGGTAGTTCGCGGTTGCAACGGTCGGGACGACCGGACGCGTCCGGTCAGGACGATTCAGCGTCTGGTCAGTAGCAGCTTTGCGGGAGTTCGACCCCAACGGCTACTTTCTCAGTGAGGTTTATAAATACAACCCCCAACCGGCCATTTGAGTAGTGTGGAGCTGAGAAACATATCAAGAGTGTTGATACACCATTTGAGTGATCTCCACATGCATAGTGCTTAGTGTTTTATTAGGTGATTAGCATAAGTGCTTTGCGAAGTGCTTAGGTTGATTAGACCACCGCTTATGCGCTTGCTCTAGGTGTTTGCCTAGTGTTTAAGTGAGGTTTGCATACCTCTTGCCACCCCGTGCTTGCGAGCACAAGAGTTGTACATCGGAGGGGCTTGAAGTCTTGCGAGATCGCACCAACCGCGTTTGTGGTGCGGCCGCCACCGTGTCTGCCGAAGGAACAAGGCCCATGGCGTTGGCCGAAAAGCTTGATAGTGAAGACGGCGGGGAGCATCCGGGAGAGCTTGCTTGGAAGGCACGTCGGAGACCCACTTGCGCGCGGGGAAGGCCCGAGGCTATCCACGGAGTTACTCGACCGGGAGCTTGGCCCTCATGCGAGGCATTCCTTGCGAGGGGCTCCAACGAGGACTAGGGGAAGCTTGCGCTTCTCTCGATACCTCGGTAAAAATACCGGAGTCGTCGATGGGAGTTTGCATATCTCTACCTTGCTCTTTAAGCTTCCGCATTTACATTGATCATATTATTATCATTTGCGGTAGAGATAGCAACACACTAGCAAAACCGTAGTTGCACATCTAGATAGATTATCTTTTGCATAGGTTTTGCTAGAGGTAGAAAAAGAGGCCATAGTTTAGAGTTAGATTTTTAAGTTGCCTAATTCACCCCCCCCTCTTAGGCGTCCTCGTGTCCAACAAGTGGTATCAGAGCCAGGTTGGCTCATATTTGGACCTTTGGCTTAACCGTCGTTGAGCCGACGCTATTGTAGAGTGGTTGGGATAGATACCGCTAGGCCTCCATAATTTGACGGCACTAACTTCCCATACTATAAAGCTAGAATGGCTTGCCACCTTGAGGCGGTTGATTTGGGTGTATGGAGAGTCACTCGTGACGGGATGAAACCCATCAAGAATCCCGAAAAACCCACAAAGAGTGATGAAAAAGAAATGCATTTTAATGTTAGAGCTAAGAATTGCTTGTTTGAATCTTTTAGCATGGATGTGTTTAACCAAGTGTTCACCTTAAATACGGCACATGAAATTTGGTTAAAACTCCAAGAGCTCCATGACGGCACAAGTAATGTCCATGAGCAAAAACATTGTCTAGCTAAGCAAAATTATGATTCCTTTACAATGAATGAAGATGAGCTTGTTTGTGATATGTATTCTCGATTGAATCTAATTATCAATGAGCTCCACTCTATAGGATTATTAAAGCTAGATGATGCGGACATCGTGAGGAAGATCATCTCCGTGCTACCACAAAAGAAATATTCAAGCATCATCACCATCCTTCACAATATGGAGGACTTAAGCACCATGACCACGGGCATTGTCATTGGCAAGATAGTGGCATTTGAAATGTCACGCAAGATGGGTCAAGAAGAAGCCTCTTCATCGAGCAACAGCAAAGCTCTCGCTTGTAGCAAAAAGAAAAAGATGAAGGGCAAGAAAGTTGAGTCAAGCTCAAGCTCAAGCTCCTCAAGTGAAGAAGAAGAAGATGAGGATGATGATGATGATGAACAAGAATCAAGTGATGATGAT